TCAATTGCTTAGATTTTCTGACCTCTAAGTTTACCCTGCCCAAGCCTATCCAGGAATAAACTAGATGAGGACTTCAGCAGAAGAAACCAAAAATTCTTATGTTTTGTTGTTGTTGTGAAGGTCAGTTGAGATTTTTCCAGAGAAACAGAATCAATCAGAAATCAGAAAATATTTAGTTATTCCCACAGCATTCATGCCACTATTATAAGAATGGACACATCTTTCCAGGCTGAGAGTTTTACAGCAGGATAAGACTGTTGGTTGCTTCTCTTCCCTACAAGTAACATTAAAAGAAACTGTCAACTAACTCTATGAAACTTCTCCAGTAGGGATGAAACTTCCAGATCAATAATGGCAGGTTTTCTCTAAGTTATTTGATCCATATATGTGATGATGTGATGATTCATTAATAAGTTTCTTTCTTTCTTTCTTTCTTTCTTTCTTCCTTCCTTCCTTCCTTCCTTCCTTCCTTCCTTCCTTCCTTTCTTCCTTCCTTCCTTTCTTTCTTTCTGTCTTTTTGTTGTTGTTTTTTCGAGTCATGGTTTCTCTGTGTAGCTTTGGAGCCTATCCTGGCACTCTCTCTGTAGACCACACTGGCCTCAAACTCACAGAGATCTGCCTGTCTCTGCCTCCTGAGTGCTGGGATTAAAGGCAAGGGAAGTCACCCCCTCGTTCATCAATAGTTTCTTATCTTCAAGTTCTGAATGATAACAAATGAATGGTAATAGCCTGCAGTGTTTGGGTAGGGACAACTATATAGGAATCCACTGACAATCAACTTGAGAAGTAATCCATATCTGGCATTAGGGTTATTTTAAATTATTATTTGATAGTTCATGGTTTCTAGGAAAGGCATTGTCCCCTATTATAAAGTAAGGTCATGTAAACTCATTTTGTAAATGTATATATAGATATATACATATTTATATGTATGTATCATAAGAAGTTTCTACAGAAGCAGGTTTCTACATGGGATTTTCAGTGTCTTCAGTATTAGATATCTCTCTATATTTGCCCTTTAACCCTGCTCTTCCATTACTCCCCCTATGTTTTGATGTTTTACTGCCTTTAGTGATCACAATAACCACTGTAGATTGCAAGTTCTCTCTAAATCTCAATACGATGTATAAATTTGTGGTAAATTACAAAGTTTTGTGAATATATTTCTATTAAAATATCATTCTTGTGTTGACACTTTGCCTGCCCACCCTTTTTATATACTGCTATACCTCTGAGCCGTGAACACACGACCTTTTTCCCTGTAGTACTTGATACTCTATACAACTTTCCTCATCATCCTCTTCTTTTCTTTGCTATGGATAATGTCTTTCCTCTGTACTCTTTCTCATTCTTCATGTTCTCAAAGGCAACAGAATTCATTTGAGCAAATAATCCTTGGAAGTCGGCGTTTCCCTTAGATATGAAGCATTGTCCTCCATCCAGAATTTCTAAGATGGAGGTCTGTTAAATGCATTTTCTTGAGAACTATGCCATTGCTTGCTTCTCTGCTCTTTCTTGTTCTGTGCATCTTTGCAGTGAACAGTAGTCAGAGCCTTGTATTCTGCCCTGTAATTTCTGGAAGAAAAAGTTCCCTGTCAAAGCTAGCCAGACAGGATATCCCAATGAGGAAATAAAACAGCATTTTCATTTTGGCTTCTTATTGTTTAATTTTATAACAAGCACTTTGCTTTCCTATTTTTAGAAAAAGGAATGATATAACTATACACAGAAGAAAGGCGTGTGTTTAAATCTCAATGGTGAAAATATAAGTCCTCTTTAATTAAGCCTTTCATGCCATACACATGTACAATGCACTATGGTAAACTAGACTGGACACTGTCATGGATTTAATTACTTATTATTTCCATAGTATGTTACAGGCATCTCATTTCTTGCTGTATAGACATACATTGTGATAATGAATAGTTCTATACACATACTGTCACTTACTACTCACTAGTTTATCAGTCTGTTGTGTTGCACCTAACAAGATGTGTGCTTTATTTCAGGTATTTGAAATTATATCCAGATATTTGCAATATCCAAATGAGATACTAAGCAAAGATAGTAAGAGCCACCCTCTTTGGTGACAATTCAAATGAGATCCATTCTACCTCCCCAGCCCCAGGAAGCATGGCATGGAGAAAGACAATAAATGGAATGATCTCCTCCTCTGGGCTTATGATCCCTATGGAGGGATACTATTGCAGCCCAGATACAGTAGGAGGGGCTAGGCCCTCTCCCAAATGATATGATGGACTTGAAGGTCCCCCATGGAGGGCTTCACTATCCCTGGGGAGGAGTTAGGGGATGGGTTGCAGGGGTTGTGGGGAACAGGGGAGGATGGGAGTGTGAGGGAATGGGGGATGGATATGTAAATATGAGTAGTAATTAAAGAAATTAAAGAAAAAAATGTAAAGACAAAATTAAATTGGTTTTGTAATACTTTCTCAGACTCCTTTCTTCATTTGCAAGTGTAGGCTGATTGATTTTTCTCCTAATTATTAACGTATGCCCAATTTTTTGGTATCAGTTTATTCCAAACAATTTAAATATATTGTGAGAAAAGACTTTAAGAAAATGAGGAAACAGAAACTATTGAAAACAACTGTAAACTCTAGCACGGATAAAGTAGGTTCTTACCACATTTTACAGATTTTTTTTTCTATCTAAATCAGTTTATGATGAAAACTTTCAGTGATCTCTTCCATTTTAAACAATATTATTATTTCTATGATTTATAAACATAACACTTGGAAAATTTTCCAATCTTAGAGAATTTTTGTAGTGAATGAATTTGTAAGTGTTGTATTTGATGGACAGATAGTTGTGGATGTTGGACATTTCTAAGCAATTATATGTATTTTATATAACTAAATATGATTCTCTATAATTATTAGGAAAGAACAAAAAAAGACATGTTAAGACATGTCTACTGATGCAATAGGGGCATGAATGTCATGATAGAAACCAATCACTTTCTGATTGTGTTTAAGTCCTGTTCTACAAGATGCAACCCATAACAAACTTCATTTTTGGGCTAAGAACCTGTGACTACACAAGTCATAGGGTCTTGGGATTAAATATATTAACTATTACAGTACTAAATGAACATAATGTTAAACTGACACCCAATGACTTGTTGTTATATTCATAGATTAATGTATCCCTCAATCATTATTGAGAAGCTTCAATTTGCAGTGGATACTAATTAACATGGGGACCCACAGCTTTCTAAGATACAGAGTATGAGAACATGTAGGGATCATTGTGAAATATGTGTTAGAAGAAAGACTGTGAGAGTCAGAATACAAGGATAATGAGTATCCTTAGAACACAATAGGTCAGCTGCACACATGAACTTTTAGTGGTTATGATTGCATTTGCAAGTCCCATTCAAGCTCAAGCCAAACAGAATATCACCATGGAGAAATGAATTAGATATGGAGTCCACCCCTAGAAGAGGTTCTATAGCTACTGGGAGAGGGAGGGTCAGTTTTCTTTAAAGAAACTGTCCCTGGCATGTCTACCATGTTCCAGTGGAAGATCACAATTCTATGAGCACATAGGCAGCATAAATTGGACTTGAGTGAGAAAATAAAAAGAGGATACAAAGTTGAGAGGGTAGGAAATAAAAGTGCATTGGAGAGGAGTTGAATGGGAGTAAATATGGTCAAAATTCAAAATAAAATCTCAAGAAATAAAAATGAATGAACAAAACCCAGTTGTTAGTTCCTCATTTGTTATGAAATTCATATAATTTGCAATTTTTTTCTTTGAATTGTTGTTATACTATGATAAGAGACATGTATGATAAAATAATCTGTTCCAGTAAATTTTCTCCTTGAGGTCTATTTCAAATAAGCTAGCTTAATTTGTTATATAAAAATTTATCTTTTGTATAACAACATGTGTATTCGGAGAGCAATTCTGGATGGATTCAAGAGGAACTAGTAAAATAGGTCAAACATTATCTGTAAGGTTGGAAACTCAATCATCTGACCTGATTTTTTTTAAAAAATGCAATGTAGTTGTTGTCTCCAAGCAAGTCACATATGTCCCACAATCCTTAGAGCAATTGAGATGTATGAAAAGTTCCCATATATGAAAGGTCTAAATTGTGTATGAAAAGTGACCTAAACAATAAATATGTATGACTTTATTTTTCTTTTCCTTGCCCGTGGATGCATCTTTATTTATTTTCTGGTTTAATGTTGTCTGATTATATCTCATATTATGTCACCTTTCCCTAAACTTGGAATATTAAATAAACAAGGTGAGGCATGATCTCTTCTGTTCTATTTAGCTTACACATTCAGGTTACATAAGCAATGCAAAAATAAATGAGAGAGGAACTTAAAAAGGCTGAGGTGGCAGTACTAAGTGCTGTTTAATTTATTTTGAAGATTTTCTCTTTACACTTTAGACTGTATTCTATTATGGGTCTAGGTTAAGAAAAAAGTGCCAACTGACTGAACTTTGGCAAATTATAAAACATTCTTCAAAGTATCTTGTTTCATTCTCCAGATGGTCTTATTTGAATCTTCCCCCTCTGTTTAACTTTCATTTTAGCAAGATATTGAGATGTAGATAAACTAAAATTGAGGTAAACTATTCACTTTTTTCAGATAATCAGATGAAAGTGACTTATTTTGCAATTATAATATTGTATGTCAAGAGAAGAGAAAGGAAGAATGTTATAGTTATTTAACAAAATATGTCAATTCTATTAGATATTTCTGAACACGTTAAGATAAATAAAATATTAAAGGAGGTATAAAAATTAAACTTTTGAGAAGGAACCTCTCCCCTTTATAACCAATATGATTAAAGTTAATTTTCACATGTTAATATGAGTGAACTTCTTTTTAACATTCCTCAAATCAAAGCATAATTTCCTTCAGATGCAAAATTCACAATATCATTGGAAAATCTAGGACAAGTGCTAACAATGTCATATAGTGGTGAAAGGCTTGTTTAAGATGAGCAAGGCATAGACACATTGCCCTTTTGCAAAATGTAGATCAGTTACAGCAATCAGAATCATAACTGACAAGGAAACGCTTTACCCCAGGGCTCCTTTTTTTTGTTTCCCCACAGCAGCTATCTAGAAGCAGCTGTGGTTTTGACAAGGTCACTGTTTGTTTGTTTGTTTGTTTGTTTGTTTGTTTGTTTGTTTTTTGAGACAGGGTTTCTCTGTGGCTTTGGAGGCAGTCCTGGAACAAGATCTTGTAGATTAGGCTGGTCTCAAACTCACGGAGACCTCCGGAGTGCTGGGATTAAAGGAATGCACCAACACCATCTGGCCAGGGTCACTATTTTTAATAAGAATTGTTATAGGCTAATGTCTTGAATGCTATGAGCCTGTCATTATATAAACCATAACAGACACTGAAGACAGTAAAAACACGTAAGACAGATGACGCCCGCTGTATGCTACTCAGCTCGCCAACAGGGATTGCTTCTTGGCAGACTAACAGTGATTTGTGGGGGAAGTCTACCCGCATGTGCACATGCACTCTCTGCCCATGGTCCAGGAACTTTCCCATAGGCGGAAGAAGAAACAAGTCCCTCTTACATAGCCTAGGAAACAGGATTTCAGAGCAGAAACAGTTGACCTGAACTAGTGAGAGCATGGAGACCCTAGTCTAAAGCTGAGAAACCAGCATTGGATAGAACCAAGTCCTCTTAATGTGGGTACCAGTTAGGAGGCCTGGGAAGGCTATGGGACCTCTAACAATGGAGCCAGTGTTTATCACTAGGGCACAAATGGAATTTGGGAGCTCACTCCCTATGGAAGGATACTATTGCAGCCCAGATACAAGAAAGAGGACATAGGCCCTCCCGGAAATGATTTTACAACTTTGATTATCCTCTGTGGAGGGCCTCACTATTATGGGGAGTGGCTGGGGAGGGGGTGTTGGTGGGGAGCATGGGAGGATGGGAGGGCAAGGGAAGGGGGTATTGATATGTAAATAAGTGCTTCTAAAATAAAAATAATTAAAATTAAAAAAAACATAAGACAGGTTAAATATTAGTGCAATAGTCAATGAAATAATAGCTATTATCCCATAAAGTTGTATTTCCATTTGAATATGCGCAGTTTCAATACAAAATATATTTCTTAACGTTAATCATATTGGAAACACTTGAGAAACAGAAACTTGATATGTGATTCCATTCAATTTGATGATAAATATCATGAGAAATATTATTTAAATGTTAGGCCCATAAAATGGGGTTCAGATATAATGACCCATCTGAACTTTTCTACCTTGTTATATTACTCATGCTAGAAAATTAGTCAAAGTCATCTTTTTGAAGATAATAAATGTAAAATTAGTAAAATATTTTCTGCAGAGATGATAGTATTTCCTGATGTTTTCCTAAGCAGTGACTCAGAAACCTGTTGAGAAATTCTAAATGGGAGACTAAGGCTGGTAATGTGCTCTTAAAAGAACCTTTGTTATGGAAATTTTAAAACAGTGTCCCTCAGAAGAAATTTCTAGCACCCCTAGATCTCTCCATTTCATGATACCCTCAATTGTCATGGGAAAAATCCAGTCAAAAAAAAAAAAAAAAAGAAAGAAACCACAGGTTCAGCTATGTTTACTCTTTATGACTTTTATTTTTTATTTTTTGAAATAAGAGTAAAATTGTCTGGATGTGTGACCTTTTTTATTCAAATAATAATGTAACACTCTAAAAATTATCTTTTTAAGATTACATATTAAAATTTCAGAAAAGTTGAAGAAAACACTTTACATCCATTTTTGCTTCTAGTAAGAATATTTCACTTTGATTATACCTTAAGTTATCTTTAATAAAATATGAATACTCTGCATGTATGTATGTATGTATGTATGTGTTTGTGTGCACCTGTGTATGTCTTTGTGCATATGTATATATGATGATGTGTATGCATGAGTGTGTGGTGTCTGTATGTGGTATTTGTGTGTGTCCTGTGTGTGTATGTGTTTGTATGTGGTGTGCATGTGTACTTAATTGTGTGCATGTTAAGGGATGTGTGTGAGAGTGTGTGTGTGTATGTGTGATTTTTCCCAGAATGAAGTGGCAAAGGAGCTAATTGAGACCCTATAATTTTATTTGCTAGATTCATCACAAACATTTTAAATAAATGGAAAAAATAGAGAATAGTCACATTTATGTCTGCTCAGTCACATATTTGAACAGATGTGGGCCATCCTAATTAGATAAGGTTGATCTTTTACTTCAAATGATGGTATGAAATAAGACTCAGAAATGATGGACAGTGTTCATCAGAAAACCTCCAGCACAGACAGCTGATTTCATTACATGAGAACTAGATATATTATATGTAAAATTTTCAATGGATTCATAGCATGACTGGCTATTTCGTTAGTACTGTAATTGAAAGGACAAGCATTTGGCCAATGGAAGATGGAAAACACTAAGTAGCAGCATTCCTTACAAGAGACTTCCCCATGGGTGGGTGAGGATAAGGACTTTCTTACATGTGCTTTTCCTAAACTCATACATCTATGGAAGACTTGGTCCTTGAAGATGTGACTCAGGGGAATTGGATGAGAAGGATGGATGGGCACACAGGTCATCATTTCACACTGCAGTGTTTTCCTATTGTGATATTTTAGAGGAGAGTTGGCCTTTTGGGATAGCTATATGTCATCCTTTGAAATTTTGTAGTGTACTTAAACTCAAGTCATGTACAGAGAAAAAGTAAAAGTGTCAACTCTGAGTAGCTGCATGGGAGAGGAACTTTATCTGTTCACAGATCTGGAATTTTTCCAAAGGCAAAGAATATTAACAGGAGTACCAGCTAGGAGCAGAGGAAAAGACTCCATTAGGTAGTATTGAAACAATATTTGGGAATGTTGATAGTCTCATACTTATATACTTATTCAATAAACTGAATAGATGCATGGGTAATATGAATGCAAGTGCACTTACATGTAATAATGTTAAGGAAAACAGATTTAGGGGCTGTAGCAATTTCCCTAGCAGCAAAGAGTAAAAGCACAAACTTTCAGTTCCAGATGTAGAACCTAGTCAGGAAGTTCTCAACTGCCTGTAACTCCAGCTAAGAGTGGTCTGATGCCCTGTTCTGAACTATGTGGGCACCTGAAGCTAAGAGTGGTCTGGCGTCCTATTCTGGACTATGTAGTTACCTGTAGCCAAGTACACAGACTTGCAAAAGATGCATTAATGCACACATACACTTAAAAATTAAAACAAATGTTTATTTAGAAAAATGATCTTGGAGTCAAACATGGCTAGTTTACAGCCCTAATATTTTTTTTCATTTATTATCTTGGTAATATCCCTAATAATGATTAAGTAACATTGTTGGTACTTTTTAGTTTTCAGTTTTAGGGTCTTTACTATTTTAAGTTTATAGCTAGGAATGTTAGGTGATTTTTTAACATTGTTGAAGCTAATGTGAAAAAGACTATTTACCTGACTTATTTTTCAGGGCCTTTGTTTTGTATACAAAATCTATAGATTCTTTTGTTAGTTTGTTTTTCGAGATAGGGTTTCTCTGTATTGCTTTGGAGAATGTCCTGGAACTTGCTCTGGAGACCAGGCTGGCCTTGAACTCACAGAGATCCACCTGCCTCTGCCTCATCACTTCCTGGAAGAAACAAGAGCCAGAAGATCATGGAGTAGAATTTCTAAACTATAAGCAAATAAACTTTCTCTCCCCTCAGATTATTTCCCTTAGGAATCAGACTATCAACAGTAGACTGAATAAGATCATAATGAAAGCACCTTCTTTTTTGTTGTTTGGTGAAAAAAGTCAGTGAACTCTTTATTGCTTCTGGGGTGTAGGGCTCAGGAGCTCTTGGTGTGACAGGTGCACTTCCTCTTCACCATCTCTGTCTTCTGTGGTGTCCCTGTGGATGGCTGCCATGCGCAGATTGGGGCTGTATTTGTTCTTTCGGATCATGTGCCTGATGCTGCTGAGGGTGGTCTGTGCATTCTTGTTGATGGTGGTCCTTAATTAAGACATGGCTTAAGTCCAATGGAGTATTTGCTTTTTACAGCAGTCTCTTACTCACTGATATGTTAACAAAATGACTATCTGTGCCACAAGCCACCCCACTTCCTTTAATTATAATCTATGTGGAATGCCTGTTTTTCTATTTTGATGAAATAACTTCAAATGATTGCTTTAACTACTTTCAGATGTAAAGTTATATGCTTTAGAAGATTCACAACGATATATAATTATTACCACTATATACTTGTTGACCTGAATCCTCATTCAGAAATCAAAATACTCACTAAGTGCTCACACCCTATTCCTTTGTCTCTACAGTTCCCCAAGTGCACTCTCAGTGTCGTGCCACTATAGGCTTCATCATTCAGGATGTTTGGAATATAAGTAGATTCATAAACCATGTAGTATTCAAGTTTGGCTTTTTCCCCACTTAGTCTTATGTTGTCATTCTTTAACCATATCTTTATGGTCAAACAATATTGCTTTGTATGTACACAAATCATTTTACTTAGCCATTAATTATTTGATAGATGATTGCATTGTTTCCACATAGCCTATTTTGTATAATATCATTAATATTAACAAATTATTGCTTGGAGTAAGACAGAGAAAGCTCTACTTTCAATGAAATGTTAAGAATGGTACACTGGGAGACTGTCTTTATCTCTTCCATACCACCTCTAATTTGTTCTCATCACACAAGCTATTTTGCCCTCATTTGTTTTTGCCTGTACTTTTCCCCTGCCATGAATATCCTCATCAGCTCCTCTTCCTGCCAAGGAACAACACACACATTGATGTCAGCTGGAATGAAATCCTTCCTAGGTCTCCTTCTGCATTTATACATACCTCTTTTTGTTTATGTTTTATTTAAATTCTTTAATTACTACCCATATTTACATATCCATCCCCCATTCCCTCACCCTCCCATCCTCCCATGTTCCCCACTCATCCCCCCAACCCATCCCCCAACTCCTCCCCAGGCATAGGGAAGCCTTCCACTAGGGAAAATATAACAAAACAAAATGCCTCCCTGGGGCATGAAGAATTTACCCAGATGACCACTCGGTACCTCTGGTGCTGGGCAGTCTGGCACCACTGAAGTGAGTGAGTACAGGGTAGTGAAATAGGGGTGAGAG